TAGTCATATCACAATGCAGTATGCAAGTTCACTGGTTCCAACAATCTCGACTTTCTTCTCTTCTTACCCTCAGGAGTGCATCTACTTCCACCTTTTCCTAACTTCACAGTGAATCTACAGCTTGAGTTGGATCCTGGAGGAGATGAACTACCAGGGTGGTTCTCTTTACCCCTCTTATTCTTTTCCCCTCTAGGATGTTTTTTTAGTATGGGAGATTTTGCTTTATTTTTTGATGGTACTTGAAGAGGTACTCCTTTCCTCATATCCTCATGCCGAAGGCGTCGGATATAAAAGGGATTTACAGCAGTGTAACCATTTGACTCTCTGGATCCATCCCTTTGCAAGTCCACATCTCCATTATTCACCTTTGAATTAAAAAAAGATGAAGAAAACCCCATTTACAGTTAATGTCTGAAGCAAATAAATCACCACTATTCACAGATAAGGACTAATAGCAACATTTGTTAAAAACTAGGCTTACTAGTTGCAGAAGTGCAGAGAACGTGCGAGCAACATCATGCTTCTCTTGCCCAGCAACAATATCCGAAAAAGAAACACCATTCCCACTGTTTTCTTCCAAAGATAACTTACTCAAAACCTTCTCACCATATTCATGAATATCAAAGGGTGGGTGAGATTCCTATCACGAAAAACTATCACCATCAGTAGGATGCGAGAGAAAATTACAAGATGCAATACAAGTTAACACAGAATGCAGGAGGTAAGAGAAGTTAATGCACATACTTGTTCATTCAGGTTGTGCTCTATCCTCTGCTTCCACGTTGAAACCCTAGCAGCCAATTCAGTCTGGTGCTCAGTTTCAGCAAGGTTTGCAAGAAGAGAGTCCTATACGTAGCAAAGAAGATTACCAACAATGTGTAACACCAGTCGATGTTTAAGTAAGATCCAAGAAAAAGCATCCGTGTAAAAACAAAAAAGTCCTCATCACAAATGATGTGGTAACTGGGGCAGGTATAAGATAGCATTAATTTTTCCAATTCTACCATAAATCATGGATTGGAACAGTTAGCACTCAAACTGATGAAAGAGGTATAAACCCAGTAGAAATTGTAAATTTGTAATAGTGGAAACTAACAACCATTTCAACCGATTTCATGTTTACTCCAACAGAATAGCACTTCTATTCTTTATCCAATCATTAAACAAAGCATAAATCTCTTCTGTCCTCACCAAATGGGAGCGGCAAAGATCTTCAAGAGTCGAATGAGTATATGGATCTTCATGGCCTTCTTGGTCAAAAGGAATGCTATCATTGCCATGCTGCACAAATATGTATATATGAGCAATTCAATTTTGAAATATGATATAGATTCATTAACTTTTCCAAATGACAGCTAACCTTCTCTTTGCTCAAATGTTCATCTTCATTATGTTCAGCAGTCTCTGGCATGTCAAAGTCCGGTGCTTCAAAATCATGATTACCATTATCATAGTCATCATCCTCATTGTTTTCATGATTGTAAAAGGCATCATGATCATTGTTTTCTCCATGGAAAAGAGATTGTCGCAGCTGAAAACAGTAGTCCAATATAGTGAACCAATATAACTCATAGCATCAATGTTTTGAAGGATTAGCAACAAAACAAACCTTCTCATACAGTGGCAGAGACTGGGATTCATCCGTCTTTTTGGTGGCACAACATTTCTCCCATACATCATACAGGTGCGAGTTAATGGTACCATGCAGTCTTGCAAGAGGAAACTCCGTTGTAATAGATATATGTTTTCTGGAACCCATGCCTTGCCTTCTTTTAGGTTTTACTGCTTAAAAGAATGGAGTTGACTAAATGAGATAAAATGGAAAAGGTTAACATGAAAAGAGAAGAAAGAAAAGGAGTGAAAACTCAAATACTTTAGCAACCTCTTCTGTAAGGTTTAACTTTCAAATTCCCAGGCTCATGGGGATTCAAGGGTTTCCATGGGTCATCATCATCTGATTCATCGAAGTCCCTTGGCTCTGAATGCCCACCTCCCATTTCATACATGTCATCATTGTTTTCAGGCGTATGACAAGGAGAAGGACAATAGCCAACATTATGGTCATTTGCACTGAAATCGTTATTAAGCCTAGGAGACTGGTTTAAATTAGCATCCGGGCTCTTTCGAGCTGAAGATTGTTTGCCAACTCCTCCAGAATATCTTGCGGAATGTTGTCCAGTTTTGCGAACTTTGCAGCTACTGTTCAACCCTTTTCCAGTTTTGTTGTTTTTTAAAAAATCATCAACTGCCACAACATCGCATGAATCCAATAAAATGAAATCCCGGTACAGATTACTGGTGGCAAGCTGCAGGAAATGATCATACATCAAATATTTAGAAAAATGTGCCATTGTCTATGTGTACACCTAATTCAAACTGCCATACCAAATAAGACTCTAGCTCCCCAGCATCTCCAGTTGTATCTAAGCAGTCACCCTCAAGCACAACTAGATTTGCTGGGGCCTTAACAAAGCAATTCAGCAACCCATCTTTGGAGGTTGTATTATCTAACAAGTTCTTAGCTTCCACTACAAAAAAAATAAGATAATATAAGCAAGGTAATTTATTGTGATCCACTATAATATCACAGGCATAAGCATGCTACCTGGAATGTCATCTAATCCCCAAAAGGGATCATTAGGAGTATCTGAAGCACCATCTTCTGTTGGGGTTGAGGCATTTGCTTGCTGATCTTGCTCACTAATCAAGTACGGAGTTATCAACAACTAGGAAAGTTAATACACAATATAGTAGTACTTTAAAAAAAAAAAAACAAAAAAAAAAACAAAAAAGTGTTCTATTGAAACGAAGATCAACAATGTATTAGGAATCAGTTACAGCAAAAATGATAAGAGCAGTTGCTCCATTGCACTTTTTTGCATAAAGTTCCACTAAGGAGTTTAAGTGAATATAAAGCTTGCAGTACATAGATGTATTATACAACTACACCACTTAGAAGAATTCTGTTAGGATATGACCTGTCTTTGCTCCCATGCGTCTCATAACTCTAATGTTCAAAATAACTTCTTTTGGAACATAAGGAAAAAAAAAAAAAAAAAAAAAAAAAAAAAAAACTCAAACCTCTTCACACTGCATAAATCCAAAGTTTTTACCCCACAAAAATTCCCGTTACAACAGCCTAAACATTATGCAGCTTTATATCCCTGAAACTGAGACTCCCATGGTAAAACATTTTACCTACAGTCCTCCACTCTTACTTCAACTTCAATTTTCTGTTTGTACACTGTTCTAAAACAACCAATTATCTAAAATTTGAAACTTTCTCGGTTTCTCCACAAGCCAAAAACATTGTACCACTGAGTAGAGTAATAGAACAGAATTTAGCTATAAAAGCATGGGGTAAAAGCAAACCTCTTCTGAGAAATGAACTGCAAGGCATGTAGTACCAAAGAATATAAGTACTCCACCTTCCTACTATACACCTGTACTGACCCTTGAAGCAGCAAGGCAGCTAAATATTGACCCAAAAACACAGAAAAAGAATCAGAAAATGCACAAAAACAAAAATACAGAACAATACACATCAGGATATCATGATATGAAGAAGGAAAAGGTAGAAACCTTCAGAGAAGTTCACGGAAATTTGTTGAGCCCCATCGTGGCCGGAGATTTCGCCGGAGCAAATCTTCAGCAAATACGACTCTAGGTTTTTTGATAGATCGACTGCCCAATTGGATTCGAGGTCTCGAAGTGGCTGCAAAGTGTGAATCTTCCCGCTAGCGTCCGAGCTGCTTCCGGGTTGCTCTTGTGCGTCGACGTTCATTTTCCAGAACTAGAATTCGGGCATTCCATGACTGGAGCTACGACCCGAACCTCATGGCTCTTCGAACGAGTTCCAAGCTACGACGTTGAAATTGCAACTTTACCAAATTATCAGTGAAAGACTCTGAATTTTTAAGATAAATTCGTTGAAAACCCTAGAAATGGCAAGCACCGGGAGAGAGAAATTTTCAAAACTTTTGGAATACTGTTTTCCCGCTCCAGATCTGATGCGAAAAATTGAGCAACGGATAATGGGCCTACTGTATTAAAGGCCCAGTTAACGGGCCAGTTGTCTAGTCCGCTATCCCTGAAGTTAAGTCATTTAAAAGCCCAAGCAATAAAAGTCCAATCATTATTACATGGACCACCATAAATAAAAAAGTACAATTTTAATATACTAAGCGTACATTATTTTATATAATTTACCTTCAGTACAAAAATAATATACCTACAGTATAAAAATAATGTACTTTTAAAGAGTTAATCCCATCCGAGGTCCTCCGAGTATAGTAGTTTTGTCAAGTTTAGTCCTGAAGGACCATGGGTGGTTAACTTGGACTATATATGAATGGTTAAATTTGAAAGTGGAAGGACTACAAATGGTCAATTTGAAAGTTTAGGACTAAACGTGGCAAAACCATTATACTCAGAGGACCTTAGATGGTATTAACTCTACTTTTGAAATATTAAAAATGTACTTGATATTAATGGTCCACACAATTATATAGACCATGGTCCATACAATAATTTGCCATAAAAGTCCGCCACCTTTGATCAAGAAATTAATTCTTCATTATATTTCACTGTTCACACAAACTTCACAAACCCAGGCTTGAAGCTCGCTTACAGGAAATAAAATTAGAGAAAATAATTAATCAGATTGTAGCTATGAAACCACTTAATTAGATTATTGAATGGCTGTAAATTAGAAGGTAATTAAAAACAATTCAACCAGTTTTATCGTTAGTTATGATTCACTGTACTAGTATTAAAACGTAACTACCCTTCATTTTCTGGACAAGAAATGTGGATCTCCGAGGTGTACGCTAATCTGGAAGAACACCGTAACCTTAATCATTGAAGGTTGATTGAACTTTCACAGTGTATATAAATAACGTTTTTGCTGGATGATGATCTTCAGTCATAATTATATACATATATATATTATATTATATTATATTATTATATTATTACACCCGGCCATTATATTGCAGATCCTTGGGGTTATCTTTCTGGTCGTACTATCTGGACGGGATAACCCTTGGGATAATCATATCATATCATTATTGATTATATAAATAAAGTTTTGAATAATAAAAATGGCTGACAGTAAGGCGACCGTTGGCATTTCTATCGTCGCCCTTGTCTTGGTGGTGGCGGTGGTGTCGGTGGCGGTGGTGGTTACCCGGAAAGAGGACAATCCGGCGGAACACGACCGAACATCGACCGACCCGCATGTTACTTCGTCGACCAAAGCCGCCGTGGACAACGTTTGCAAGCCGACGTTGCATAGCGATACGTGCAAGAAGGAGCTCTCCGCCGCCACCAACAGCACCGACACGAAGGAGCTGGTGGAAGTGGCGTTTAATGTTACGATGAAAGAGATCTCCAAGGTTATGAAGAAGTCCAAGACTCTCCAGGACGCCGCCAAGGACCCCCGGACCTCTGAAGCGTTCAAGGTCTGTCAGGGCCTGTTGGAGGACTCCATTGATGACATCCGGCGCTCCTTGGACCGGATGCTCGACTACACCGCCGCCGCCGCCAATCTCGACCTCTACATGAATGATATTAAGGTATTATTGGTATATAACTACTTCTTGATTCAGTCACATAACTGCTCAAAATTATGAAATTTCCCACAACTTGAAAGTAAATCAGGTCGAGAGTCTTGTTCCGATCATTTTTTGTATTTGAAAAAACCTTTATTGTTATTTTCAACCACTTTTTACTATTTAAGATCAATTTCAAAAGGGCCAGAAATTCTATAATTTTCAATAGTCATTGCTGGAAATTATGAAATTTCCGACCACCTGAAAGTGATCTTAAATCAAAAAGTAAAAAGTTATCAAACATAGCAAAAATGGTGGAAACAAGACTTTTGGCCTGATTTAAAATTACTTTCAGGTGGTCGAAAATTACATACTGAAATTTTCAGTAATGAGTGTATATTCACCCCAATACATAATAATATTATATATATAGGTATGGCTGAGCGGCGCCTTGACGTTCGAGAACACATGTCTGGACGGATTCCTCGGCACGAAAGGGGACAGTGCGGAAAAAATGAAAAAGCTATTGAAGACAGCTAAACAGCTCACCGGCAATACCCTGGAAATGGTTAATGTAATCCATGAGGCTTTAGCTTCTTTCGACATTTCAGGTTTTACCCGCCGGAGACTCCTCAAGAACCCCAGCAGGGATTTACCGGAATGGGTTACCGGCGCCCAGCGCCGCCTCCTCCAGTCGAAGGCTCCGGCGGCCCCTGACATGGTGGTCGCTAAGGACGGTTCCGGGAAATACAAGACCATCAATGAGGCCATCCCGAATATCCCGCTCAAAGGGACTAAGCCGTTCGTGGTCTACATCAAGGCCGGAGTTTATCAAGAACATGTTCTTCTTACGAAGAAGATGAGGAACGTGGTTTTCGTCGGAGATGGTCCGACGAAAACAAAGATTACTGGTGACAGGAGTTTCATAGGAGGGTACCAAACTAGTGAAACCGCGACGGTTATAGCTAAGGGTGATGGGTTTGTGGCGAAGAATATAGGCGTTGAGAATTCCGCCGGAGCTGCAAAACATCAGGCGGTGGCGCTCCGGGTGCAGGCGGATCAGGCCGTCGTGTACAACTGCCAAATCGACGGCTACCAAGACACGCTCTACGTGCACGCCCACCGCCAATTCTACCGCGACTGCACCATCACCGGAACCATCGACTTCGTGTTCGGAAACGCCGCCGCCGTTTTCCAGAACTGCACGTTGATGATCCGGAAGCCCCTGATAAACAACGGCTCCGGCCAATCTTGCATGGTGACGGCCCAGGGGAGAGCCCAAGCCGACGAGCCCACCGGAATCGTGATCATGAACTCCCAAATCACCTCCTCTCCCGGATACAAAACCTCCCCGAGCCCGATCGTCTCCTTCTTGGGACGCCCATGGAGACAACACTCGAGGACAGTGATCATCAACTCGAAAATCGACGCCCCCATCGCGCCGGAGGGGTGGTCGCCGTTCCAGGGAACGTGGGGACTCACGGACTGTTGGTACGGCGAGTTCGGAAACACCGGGAAGGGTTCGGTTTTGAGCAAGAGAGCTAAGTGGCCTGGAATCAAAGGGCGGATCAATAAAGCACACGCTGAAGGTTTTGCTCCCGGAAAATTCATTTTGGGCGACACTTGGATCCCTGCTACTAAGGTGCCTTATGCCGCCGGCTTAAATCCCAACAAATCTTCGCCTTCTTCATCTTCACCCACACCCTCACCCAGTTAAAAAAGAATATGATATTATTAGCAGTTAGAGTTCAGCTGTTAGTGAATTGGATTAGCAATTAGTTCATAGCGGAGTATATGTTAGTATTTTTGACAAGTGGATTGTGTCAGCCAGCCGTTTGTAAAAAATATATTTGATAAATTTAATTATTTAATGTTAGCAATTAACATATAAAATGTCTTATAAAATTATAGGTCAAAGTACAATTAAATCTCTAAATTAAAAAATAAATTTTCTAATTAGGCACCTCAACTCTTAATTGTTATGTACTTTAAATAATTTTTTAAAAGTTGTGTAATTATATCAATTTGCATGTCAGCTCAAGTAATAGTACCAGAAATTGATTTTTAAAAAATAAAAATTGAATGAAAATCAATCATTGCAAGCTTCTCCATAAAAAAAAAAAAAATTAAAATTTTAATTAACTTATTTGAATTAAACCACTTTTAAGGTTTTATTTGAATTAAATCAATCTAGCAGTAAGACTTACTCAAACTGTATATGAGGTATCCCTATCCTAATGAGTAATTATGGACGTAGTGACACGTTGACCAGGATACATGTATGTATAAATAAGTTTCATAAAAAGTTGCAAAAAGTCATATTTTAAAGACAAGTTACATGCAACGAGTGAATAAAAAGTCTACAAGTGTTAAGTTATTACTATGCAGGTTAAAATATTACAAGTTGTATATATTTTAAATTTGTTTATCTGGACGGACAAATTTGAATTCAATAAATAGAATTATCATGCTAAATTATGTGTAAGATTACTAGTAAATTTTCTCCTAATGAAAAATTACATCACCTTCGAACTATTATACATCTTGTTCTCATTTACATTTATGCATGTACCTTCATATTAAGTTTATTTGTGATTAATAGTCATGCTTATAATCATTAATGACTTTGTACTCATTTAGTATATCGAGTAAAGCAAATAATTAGGGCCATCACGCCCTCAATAAACTATTATCTATAGGCACAATTACTTGTTGAGAATTAAACCATTAAAGGTTTTATTTGAAGTTTATCCACCCATTTTCTAGATTTATACTTTTTTTTTTAGTACTGTTGACTCTATTATAAGGTAATATTTGTTTTATACCTTTTAGATTTATACTAAAACTAGGATTGATAAATAATTTGAGATTTTGAGTAAGCATACCTTTCTAAACTACACACCTTGAGAATTATGGATAAGAAATGAAAGAAAGTATATTAGAAGATGGTATTGCATTTGGCAGAAAAATAATATAACAACCAATGCATAAATATCATAGAAAAATAAGAAAAATTAATATTATATATTAGTATGTAACTAATCATGTTGTCCAAGAATCATGGAGTGCCATTCACCTTGAAAAAGATAATTATGACATTGGTCACAAATTAAACAAAGACATTAAATGGTGTTACAATTAAGGGCCACCAATCACATCATTTCACTAATCATCACCCCACCAATCACACTCTATTACAAATTACTCCGTAAATAAATAACTAAATGGTTATTTCATCATCTCACTAATCACCATTATCCCAATCACACTCTATTAGGCACCACGTACAAGTTCCATGGTAAAAAACAAATAGGCGATGGCCAGTTGTATTTGCACTACTTGTAAATAAAATTCTTTTTAGGAAAATACTACATACATATACTCTCATTCTATACTCCTAATTTTTACTCTCACACTTAAAATAGGGAGTCCACATGAAAAATATAACCTATCAGAGTCCTTCAGATTTAGGAGTACATGTAGTAGTGAAACATTATGATGTGTAACACAATCAAACATATGAAGACGCAACAAGAATTGTTAGAAAGTTAGTATATTATTGATCCAAATGCAATCATGCAATTACATTTCAATTTCATAATCTTGAAGCTAGCTAGCCCCTGCAGTTTCAATTTTTTTTGGGGGGGTCAAATTAATATATGTAAACTCGTTACATTATATTATAAGCTAGTAATGCTAACTTATTTAGCAGAATAGGGCACACCACTAGCAGGGATCCAAGTATCTCCTAGAATGAATTTTCCAGGAGCAAATTCATCAGCCTGCGCTTTAGTGATCACCCCTTTGACTCCCGCCCATTTGGCTCTCTTGCTTACGTCCGCACCCTTTCCGGTGTTGCCGAACTCACCGTACCAACAGTCTTCCAGGCCCCAAGTTCCCTGGAACGGCGACCACCCCTCCGGCGCGATGGGGGCGTCGATTTTCGAGTTGATGATCACTGTTCTCGCGTGTTGCCGCCATGGGCGTCCCAGGAAGGAAACGATTGGGGACGGGGCGGTAAGGTATTCCGGGGTGGCGCTGATGACGGAGTTCAAGATCGCGATTCCGGTGGGCTCGTCGGGTTGGGATCTCCCCTGGGCTGTCACCATGCAAGATTGGCCGGAGCCGTTGTTTATCATCGGCTTTCTGATGATCAACTTGCAGCTCTGGAAAACGGCGGCGGCGTTGCCGAAGATGAAGTCGATGGTTCCGGTGACGGTGCAGTCGCGGTAGAATTGGCGGTGGGCGTGCACGTAGAGCGTGTCTTGGTAGGCGTCGATTTGGCAGTTGTGGAAGATGGCCTGATCGGACTGCACCCGGAGAGCCACGGCCTGATGATTTTCCGGGCCGGCGGTGTTCTCAATGCCGATATTCTTACCCATAAACCCACTTCCTTTCACTATAACCGTCCCGGTTTCGCTGGTTTGGTAACCGCCGACATAGCTTCTGCTCCCGGAGATTATCGTCTTGGTCGGCCCATCTCCGACGAAAACAACATTCATCATCTTCTTCGTGAGAACAACGTTTTCTTTATAAACGCCGGCCTTGATGTGGATAACAAAAGACTTATTACTTTTCAGAGGGATATCTGGGATGGCTTCGTTGATTGTCTTGTATTTCCCGGAACCGTCCTTAGCGACCACCACATCAGGGGTCACCGGAGCCTCTAGGAGGCGGCGCTGGGCGGCGGTTGCCCAGACCGGTAAACTTCTAGAGTCGGCGAGGAGTTTTCGGTTCAAACCTGTATGAATACAAATAATTTACAATATTCTAAGAATAATATTGTTCATATATTTATCTAATTTCCATATTCTAATACCTGCAATGTCGAGAGAGACTAAAGCGTCATGGATTTCATCGACCATTTCCAGGGTATTTCCGGTGAGCTGTTGAGCCGTCACTAAGAGCTTTTTCATTTTATCCGCACTGTCCCCTTCGGTGCCGAGGAATCCCTCTAGACATGTATTCTCGAACGTTAACGCCCCGCTAAGCCATACCTTAATATCATTCATGTAAAGGTCCAGATTGGCGCCGGCGCCGGCGTGGTCCACCATCCGGTCCAAAGCTCGCTTAATGTCATCAATGGAGTCCTGCAAAAGCTCCTGGCAGATCTTGAACGCTTCAGAGGTTCTGGGGTCCTTCGCGGCGGCCTGGAGAGTCTTGGACTTCTTCATAACCTTCGAGATCTCTTTCATCGTAACATTAAACGCCACCTCCACCAGCTCCTTCGTGTCGGTGCTGTTGGTGGCTGCGGAGAGCTTCTTCACGCACATTTCCCGATGGAAAGTCGGCTTGCACACGTGCTCCACGGCTTTGGTAGACGAACCGATGTTTTTATTGCCGGCGGCGGCGGCGGCGTGGTGGTGTTCGGCCGAACTTTCCTCTTTCTGGGTAACGAGCACGGCTACGGTGACGGCGGCAACTACCAAGAAAAGGGCTAGGAGAGATAAGCCAAGAGTGGCCTTATTATTGTTGGCCATTTTTATTGAAATTGAAATATATATACAAGGGTTATCTATCTATCTATCTATCAATCAAGATATGAAGGATAATATTTGATAGATAACCCTTGGGTTAATGATTCTGCAGGTTGCTTTGCTTGTTGTGATTGTTGAAGATGACGAGGTTATATACAGTGTCGACTGCAACTATTTTCGTGGATTTTGAGGTTGAGGATTGATGATCAATATTAACCACCATAGAAATCCGACATTTAAGTTCCAGCGTGCACATTTTAAGGTTTGAATGTATCTGAATGCCTGCGTTTTAATAGGGGTTGATTTCTTTCTTTTTTTATTTGTTGGTTTTTTCTTGCCATTCAATAATCCAAATAGTAAGTTTTGTGATGATTGTATATGTTTTCGTTAAATCAACAAATACTATATGTTATACATTATACATTCAATTCAATTTCAATCCAATCAATACATTCAATTCAATTTCAATTGAATCATTCGTGAATTATATATTAAATTAATGTTTTTTCTTGTAGACTTTGCTAACAATTGTTTGATAATTTCGTTTAACTTTGTTGTTGTTGTTGTTGTTTTTATTATAAAAATGACAATTTTAGTTATTTGGTTCTGACTAGAGTAAAAATGTAGTCTTTCAATTATTATTAAACTAACGTATTTAGTTTGTCAATAACTAAATTTATCATCAATATGTCACTTAATAAAGTGATTGATTTGGCCATTTAGTAACCAAATTCATCACTTTGAAAATAATTGAAGGACTAAATGAACACGCCAAAGTTTTACTCCATTAATTTTACTATAAATTTGTTTTTAAAGCCATATTTCGTTAAAAAAAAAACACGCCAAAATGAACATATATAAATTATATACTTTTGTAGTTTTGACAGAGAAAATTATGCTGTGCAACCGTGTGCACCATGCAAAAACGACGTCGTTTTGATTAAAAACGCGTGTCCCACATAAAAAAATTCAATTTCGAATCCGGGCAACATCATTATGTTGTGCATAATTTGAACTATATATCCAGAATGAATGAACTAAATATTCAGCATGAATGAAGAAAAAAAAATCAGTTTCGTTTTCTGTTTAAATATCCAGAATAAATGAACTAAAAATCTAGAATGAATAAACAACATAATGCTGTTGAGGAGAGTTGAAACTGTTTTTTTTTTTTTTTTTTTTTTTAAATAGAACGCACATCTTTAATTAAACGACGTCATTTTTGTAACCGTGTAAACCATATAATATATGGTGCACACCGTTGCACAGCATAACTATTGTTTTGACAGATTCCCGTCGATAATTTGGCCCATATAGATTGGATTGTTATGGCCAATTTAAAACAAGCTAGCCAAGCCCGAGCAAAATCAAACAATTCGCGACCAAAAAACAAGCAATTCACTTCACACAATTGTTATACGGTCCAAAGACGTCGACAATTGTTATACGGTCCAAAGACGTCGTCATTTTGTTAAGTAAAAAGAAATGAAAATTACGACCGTTACTAATCCCGTATTTATGATATGCTCAGAATTAAATAAAACTAGAGTATATCTAAAATGAAATTAAATAACATGTTTCACATATTGAGTGTATATTGTCAAATGAACTATAGCTTAGGTATAGGTACATCTTGCACCTGTAAGAGTGACGATGATTACACATTAGTTTTGCTTCACATATTAAAATTATGATTTCTTATTGGGCGGTGGAAGAAAAGAATGTCGCTATGACGATTTCACAGTGAACGAGAAGAAGAGGGAGGCAGTGAAAAATAAAGAATTATAATTTATTGAGAAAAAGGTCAAATAGACCCCTAAACTTTACCCTAAAGTGTAATAATTTATTTAAGGTCTTTAAATACTAATTCTAAATGACACTTTTGTCCAATGATGTTGATATTATTAAATTGTCCCTGAGTTTGGACAGGAAAATTTCACAATCACTTTTGTTATTATATAGATAATAATAATAATAATAATAATAATAATAATAATAATAATAATAATAATAATAATAATAATAATAATAATAATATATAGATATAGATATAGATCATATAAATAACATATATGTGATACTTGCCAAGTAGTTTGTAGCTCAATGATACCAATGTGGCTCTCCCAAATGTGAGGTCACATGTTGAATCCTAGTAGGGGTGTTAACTTTTTGTGTTTCATTAGGTCACATGTACAGATAAATACTACATTGTAATAAAGTTAGTAGTATTCAAAAAACATGTATGTGATACTTCTTTCCTATTTTTAATTATTTTTTGTTTCTTTCTTATAATCATGATGATCAACTTTCCTAACTTTATATATGATATCCCAAGTGGATGAAGCATCTTGTAGGTTGCATGTCTTGGATCTCTCAAATCAATAAAGAGAAACAAAAGCATTTGGAAAGCTTCATGCAAACAAACAACATATGCTTGTTGGCCCATATCTAGATAAATTCTCACGGCATATATGTTTTATATATAGAGATATATATCTCACCTTCAATTTATACCATGGAGTCATGGACCATAGTTCACATTAAAAGACAAATTATTGATACATACATATTCATTTTGTATACTATAGATGTATTTTACAAAATATATAAACATATGTTAAAATATAACGAGCTTACTAAAAATGAACATTTGGTGTAATAAATTAAATATGGAGTTGCAATATACTAAAAATAAACTAGTATATGTTGGTGGTCCACATTACAATGTGAATCATGGTTCAATATATAAGATTTGTATCTCACCCCAACCATAATAAACTAGAGGAAATAAATACATTATATATGTGTGTGTATGTATCTATATACTTACCACCGGATCGGAGATCGATCATGTGACAGTAGTTGTTGTGACATGAAGTGACTCACCCAAATTAAAAGTTAGTAGGTTGACAAAGTACGGAGTAATTATTAACAAATACTACATTGAAATAGAGTCAATGGTCTCTCTCCAACAAATACTATATTGTAACAGATTCGTTACGTTATTTTATTTTCCCAAAAAAAAAAAAAAAAAAAAAAAAAAAAAAAAAAAAAAAAAAAAAAACTAGAACCCAACAAGTGTATATAAGCTAGAACCCCACAAGTGTATGTATATAAATGTGTGGGTGGGGGAGGGTTAAAAGAACAAAAGCAGAAGCATTTCCACAAGAATTGGATGCGTTCACCTATATATGACTCATCAGTCCAATGATTTAACATTTTAACATTACATTATAATACTAAGACCAATATAGTTCTTGGACTGAAGAATAATTATTGAGAAGACTACACTTTATTAATTAAATATTTATAATCTTATCTTATAATCATTACTTAATGTACTTTGTAGTTTAAATAAATATAATTTATCTTAAATTAATTACTTTCATTCCTTCCTAGCTTCTTTGGCACCAATTTACCGGCCACTGTGCACTACTTTTCATTTATTATATTATATATTATGCCCCAACTATATATCTGCAGGTTTCTTTGTAGTTCGAAATTATTTATTTATTTCTTTAAATAATAATTAATTACTTTAAAAATTATGCACATGCTTTTGGTTTATGATAATTTAATAATAATAATCACCTTTCCAAATTTTCAAAAAAAAAAAAAAAAAAATCACCTTTCCAAAAACATTTTGGTAAACAGGACAGGAAAAGAGTCCTCTACAGGCATAAGTTTATAAGTTTGCGTAAAAATGAAAGAAAACGAAAAGAAAAAAAAAACAAAAAAAAAACAAAGAAGATAATATCTTCTTCTTCTTCTTTTTTTTTTTTTTTTTTTTTTTTTTTTTTTTTTTTTTGAAGATAATATCTTCTTTTATTATTAATTTATATTTCAGAAATATTTTAAAATAGACTATGGCCAATATTTATTTTTGATTTACAAAAATATCCATAACCAACATGGTTCTCTTTTATTTCCTCTCTATAACTCTTCAAAACTTCTAAAAAGTGTTGAACCTTATAAAGGAGGACAAGGTGAGTTAGGCAACCAATGTGGTGTTGGAGAATACATCCAAGGGTGTTGAGGTTTAGCTTTGTCATTTGTCCCACATTGGTCTCCTAAGGGACAATTTCCCATCATTTAAATGCCAACCCTTTTGGAGCCTTTGAAATCTTTTCAAGGGAGGGAAAGGAGAAGTCCCCGCGCGCGCCGCCGCCGCCGCCCGCTCCGTTCGCACGCGCGGTGGGGTCAAAATTTTACGCGGCAATTATTTTTTGTCCGACTTTTTCGCTACTCCACAGAATTATTCTTAGTCTACGCACTCAGAATTATTCTTAGTCAAGAGAGACTTTTGCGCGGCGTTAGTGGACATTTACGAACGCACTACGAACGCAAATAGCGTTCCTCCCTTTGCGTTCCTTCATCTAATTTTACGGTTGGTTGTGGCTGATACTGGGAAGTCAGGTACTCTCACCATTATATATATCTGCCTTCCCAGTCCTCTGAGGCTACACTGGAAATAATCGATATATATATACTACGTATCTCTCATAGTGCAAAGAGAACGTGAGCACTTCTGTGTTAGCCAGTCGAAAGCGTCGGGAAAAAGACCGCACAGTCTCCGGCATTAAGCTTTTAAGGCAGTGTCCTGCACACGTCACAGAATACAAACAATGCTTAACCTTTACAAAAAATACTACGACTTTTTCCAAAAACCACAACAGTTAAAAGCTTAATCATGAAGATGTCGTCACTCCTATCCAAGCCCGCTGCTGAACTTACAAAAATTGAACCACTGAACGGTATCAATTACCGAAGGTGGGCTGTAAAGATGATGGTGCACTTCGAAACACACGAAGTGGATTATGTACTCACCAACCATGCAACTCCTACTGCGGCAACACCAACCACACCTGCTACGGATGAACTCGAGACCACATCAACAGAAGAAGCAACTCCGGATCCAAAAGCATCTGCGACTGCGTCGGCAGCTGCAAAACCTTCTGAAACAACTCAAGACAGTCGAAGCAAATTCGAGCGAGATAACAAAATGGTAAGAGGCATTCTACTTCAGTACATGTCTGACTCTCTTTTGGACATCTACGCACCTCACAAGTCCGCGAAGGCAATCTGGGACTTGCTGCAAAAGAAATACGGGTCAGACGATGCAGGACGGAAA